CTTTTAAACTACCGCTACGCGTCCGTGCCTAATTCCAGCTCGAAGGCCTTCCCTCTCCGCCCCGGCGTGCCCGGGCTGCTGGCCACAGCCCGCGTGCAGCGCGAAAAGGGCTCGGGTCGCTCCCGGCCCGCACACCTATAGGTTTTCTTATTGCTTGCTTGCTCGCTTCTCCCAGCACTGACCCCCCTTTCCTTCCCCCTTCTGCCTTTTGTATTCAAAATTTCTATCTTCTTATACACTGCTTTGGGCATGTCCTTTCACAGCAACAGATGAAGCGAGCTTCAGCTCACAAAAGCTTGTGCTAGATAAATCCATCTAATTTGGTTAGTCTATAAAAGTGCAAATATACCCTACTAAAACATAAATTCACATTCTCTTTGTAGTAGCACCCAAAAATTGATTTTGTGAAAATAAGCTGTTATAAAGCCAAGATGCATGGAAACCTTTCCATGAAAACAGTCAACATGGGGGATTTTTAAACCAAAAGGCCTCTTAGATAGTACTACATGAACTCTTCAATGCAAGAAGCATGATAGGGAGACCTGCGAGAACAAAAACAAAGCAACTCAACTGACTTTCATTACCTAATATAAACAAAATGAGTAGTGATGTGAATTCTAGACTTATTCAATAATTAGAAGAGTATTACCAAACACGAGGAAGTGTTTATGTTAAAATACTACTGTCTTTTTAAAAAATCAACTTGCACATACCTGCATGGTGGTAAAAACATGGAGTCCTTCATAAGCACAGATCCGGAAAGAAGAATGTACCAACATCTGGCGATTGTTTCTGAGCTGTGATAAAGAAAACCAAAATCACTGATAGCAATACAAAAAGACATACAGTGCCTCAGGTAAGACCAATGTATCTATATTTAACTGCACTGAAGATTTAGGATGTCTAAAAATACTAGCAGCACTCTAGCATTACTACGACTACTATTAGAGCACAGCCGCAAAGTTACTACTTATATCACAGAGGAAAGATCTGCAGAAAATTTAGGCTAAAATTTACCACTTGCAGAATCGTATTTGGAGCTGGTAGAAAAACAAACTTTTAAAAGTAAAAATTATGTTTATCTGTATTTAAAGTAAACTCACTTCCATCCCAAAGCAAATTACAATCTTTACATGCAGGAATCATTTAACTCAACATCAAATTCTTTAGCATCAATTAGTGCACAGCATTACAGAAGTTTAGCATAGATTGTGAGGAAAAAAAACACAATATCCAACAACAAATTGTGGAAAGAAATTAAGTAAAATAGTTATCAAAAAACGGAATTTAAAAAGGAAGTCAGAATTAGTATCTCTAGTCTTGGGTAAGATGCCATAAGGGATTTTTAAAAATTCCAAAAGCAATCAGAGCCCATGGTTTGAGTCTATTCGGACAGAGGGCTGGCTCCTCCAAAGGGACCAGTACTCCCTGACAAGTTCAAGTACCAACTTCAAGGGAAGAGTGCCATCTACTGAATCATCAATACCCATCCCAAAAACCATGTTAGGTTTTCTACATGCTACAACCTGCACATTTTTTAAAAACACATTTAAAATACACATATGTACATATACTCCTTCAACAAAAGTTGTGTGGCTATCTTCCATGGGCATTTCTGGAAGTGGCACCCTATTTTATCTGTATAACCATCTCATTGTCTAAATGGCATATGGCTATATAATCAAATGCTATCAATTTTAAATGTTGCTCAGTTTTCTATTTTTCACTTACCCCAAAACTAAGGGTACAGATATGTTCTAACAAGCAAACCAGTCTTATATTTCTCCCCCCGAGTGTAAAAATTAACACCTTAAAGCTACATACCAAAAGAGAACTTGGTTTCCCTTGTATCTTTCATAGCGGGCACTTGAAGACATTATTCTGAGAAAGAAAAAAAAATGTAGTTGCAATTTTAAACTCTAAAAAGAAATAATAATTTTAGTAATATCATCCCTTTCATGGAACTTCCCTGATAGTCAACACTTGAAGTTGGACTTTGCCTGTTAAAAAAAATGGGTTTCCTTAACTATAAAGCTCAAACCTAATTGCCATTTTTATTATCCAAGTAGATACTGCACAACACATTCTTCAAGTGTTTCTGAAGCACTCCTACACACACTGAAATTACTCCTAGCAACAGAATTGTAAGAACTGAAGTACTTCCAACAATTTTTTTTGTGCTTTGTCTCGTTTGCCTTCCATTTAACATAAGCCAAAAATCATTCGAATGCACAAGTTAGAGTGTTTGCAACATACAATGTATTTAGATATCATTTGTATTGGACAATGCCAATTATCCCACACAACCCTTACCTTAGCTGATGTTCCCTGAGATGTGACAATATGTCCATTCCATGAAGATAAGTATAGATAATATTTAAGTCCTGAAAACAGAAAAACAAAAAAAAATAAAGAAACATGTCATCTATGAAGTATTCAAGTTTAGCATCTAATCATCTTACAGAATTATTTTGCAACACGGGAAACGCACCTGAAAACAAAGCAATGGATTAGGAAACAGCTCAGGACAAAAAGATTAACCCGCCGTAAGTTAGCTGTCAACAAAACAAGTTTGTTTTCCAACATGTAAGCATTAAAGTAGCCAAGACCCTGAAGCAGTCGTTACTAATAACTTGTGTCTACATTATTTACAGAGTTTTATAAATACATAGATCATTGTCCAAGAACTATAACGCACCATATATCAATGCCTTGCATCCCACAATGATTAAAACACATTATACACCTTGCAGTACCTCCTTAAACCAGGGTATTATATCTTATCTACTGAGGTGACACCAGAAAATTGAGGAGTTTCTCAAAACTGCACTTTATGCTAGTAAAGAGCACAGAAATACATAAACCCTCCTATTTATTCTGACCAATAGAAAACACTTCTATCCTAACCCAAGACTGAATGTCTGGGAAGGAAAAGATATCCCAGGTCCACATCCGACACCTTGCTGATACCCACATAGAAAACCCCTCCTCTTCCCATGTTAAGGTACTTCCTTCACCTTCCACTTCCAAAACTTCATAGACTAGTATCACAGCAGCCCTACTCTTTGCCAGCACTGGAAACAAGAGAACTGCTCAAAAGGACCAAGTCCTGGATCTAAGGCATATCAGGCAGAATATTACCAGCATCACTATGTTAGCATCATGAGTAATTTTTATTAAAGACTTTTTAATTTGATTAGTTTTCTCCTAGTCATAACTTGAAAGAAGTATTCAGCAAGCCTTTTCCCCAACTTTGTACATTAAACATACAAATGGATGCATCTGTGAGCCTAGAAGGACTATAATGATGGGCTACCTGACTGCAGCAGCTAAAATGCATCTTTAAGAGGATAATGCTTCCTAAAAGAAAGTGTCAACTCATTTACTTTTTAAACACACAGATTCTGATCTTTAAATGAGAAGATACAGCTGCTTAGATCTCTCACTACACTGAACCCCCTTTAGTCACAAAAATATTTGTGCTGATAGAGTAGACCACATGCTAATGGAAAACACACTGGACCTATTCAGCATTTATTTTACTGTCTAGAACAGGTGGGCTGTTAACATTAAGACCATGCACTGTACAATAGCCACATATACGTCAATGTCTTTGCAGCTCGAACATTTGTGCTCTGAACTTTTAAGGCACTGGGGACACTTTATACAATGTTTGCAAACGATAAAAGACTGCGAGGGTAGGCTTTGGAATTTACAGTAGTTTTATTAAAGAGTTACATATTGAGCTAAGAAACTTTTTGGAACATAATGGATATGGATTCTGTCATACAGAAATGAAAGTCCAGAAATAGCTAGAGGCTGAATAAAATTATTGCAATAAAGATCTCAGATTTCTAACGCCATAAACAAAACCTGTGAAAGTTGAGCAGAAGACTGCTCAATATACTATTTATTTATTTAAAGACAAAGCATCTGGTTATAACAGGGCTCATGAGCCCAATCTTGATTTAAGGTTTCAGAGCTTCTTCCTTCCTAACTACTTTAGTATTTGTACTATTGGAAAGCCTAAAAACCCTAGTGGATCACAAGCTCATTGTGCTAGGTGCCGTACAAACACATCTTAAACATTATAGGTTTCATTGTCAATATATTCTTCCCACAAAGAAATATTATGTACACAGTCAGACTGCAATGCTTTTCAATTTCATTTCATTTTTTTACTTAAATATTATCTCCATATACTACATCCAGAAAATAAGCTTTAAGGTAAACACAATGAAACCACTCAAGAAACATAGCTTCTACCAAAATCAAAGCTTCATTATTCACAATTTATTTAAAACGCGGTGGCTATCATTTTCTGTCAAAGAATGGGTTATACCAAACATTATCTTAGACTAAATCTTCAAATAAAATGTTGCACTATTTAAGAGTGTTTTTATATATTAATTACTACTTACTCTGAAAACAGAAAAGTGTAAAGCACGATGCTCTTCAAAACTACAACCTACACAACTTTGGGACATTTTGTAAAAACACACTCATCTTCTATTTATTTCAAAGTAACTTGAGGCAGTAGCATTTACATGAGGTTAATTTGCTTAACCACTTTTAAGGGAGAAATGCATCCATTATTTTATTTGGTAAATTATAATTATAGTCAAAGACTGTGAAGTCAGTAACTCAAACGTTAGCAGAATTACTGGCATATTCCCCAAGTGGTCCTAATTCAACTCTTCCCCTCCCCCACATATACACACACTTATAATAGTGCTTAATTACACAACCATCCGCTATCTCTTCCTGCAGGACTACTGCTTCGCACTGATGAACCTGGGCAAGGGTTGGATCCGGTTTGGGTAGCAAGGAGACTGCTGTCAGCAGAATTTTGTCCAAATTGCGGAAGAAGCTGGAAGTTGCACAGCAAACGAAGCGAGGAATTTCCACAAAAGGCCTCTCTCATGGTTAAGGCAGCTGACACTGCTGGAGAATTGAACTGTCTCTGTGCCTCGGCCCAAGACTTCCTCTGTGATGCTACACAAGTCACAAGACACGGTACTGTTGCATACTATGTTACTATACATACACTATTTGTTTCAAAATTATGTTCCTAGACACACCCAAACACAGTAACAAATCTCCCACATTTTTTCCAGACCCACTCCTCCATTTCAGACAATTTTCCCCTGAAAATATTCGGCTGCTTAGGTATGACATTGAGCCATCCTACAAGCCTGAAAAACTCACCCTTCCACAGCGTGTTCAAACAGGAAAGCCCTGACTCCCACAGCTTGTTCATATAGGACAACAGAGTCCTTCCATGGGCCACGTGCACAAGCCATTATTTACAACGATTTTCACCTGCAATCCCTCCCCACCCAGCCTAGGCCTTCATTCAAGAGTCATAAAAAGTAAAGCATCGAGTCTACCGACAGAAAAGGGAACAAGGAAAAGAATTCTAAATATGTTAAACATGTTATTTGACAATATTTTGATGTACAGGCAGTCCTCAACTTACAACCTTTCGAGTTACAACATTTTGCACTTACAACGTTTATACACTGACACCGTTTCAACTTTGACGTCAGTTTCAACTTTACAACGCTTGATCCGACGTGACACCACGTCAGCGAACAAGTTCGCTGCGTTACCCATCTCCCTGGAGAACGTCTGCCCAAACTTCCTTGGACATTTTCTTTAAGAAAGCAGACAAAGCTCAGCCAAGACTCCTGAGAAGACTCCAGCCAAGAACCCTTCACAAAGTCCAACCAAGAGCCCTTCAGAAAGTCCAGAGAAGTTACCTCAAAGAAGTCCATCCAAATCAATGATTGCTAATTACAAAATAAACACGTTCATGTAGATATATTACTCAACTATAATTGATTAAGTACAAAATTCTGTTATTTTTGGTGTAAACAGGGTATTGGGCCTTGGTTCAGCAACCAGTCCCCCATTTCTAACATTGTTTCCTATGGGAAAATTGGTTCTGAGTTACAACGTTTTGAACTAAGACAGTTTTCAGGAACCAATTGTGGCGTAAGTCCGAGGACTGCCTGCAAAGCATTCACCTCCTAATTCTAACTTGTATAAATCCCAACTGCTAACAGTGATTGCTGGTGTGTCGAGACCATCAGTAATTATCTCATTGTCCTCTGTGGTCTGTCTGCCCGTATCCATTGTTCCTTGTTCTATTCTTAAAGCCTAAGTTTTTCCAGCAGATGCAGCCTTTCTGGTCTGTTTGTGCTGTGGTTAGAACAGTGGAGTCCTGGTCTGCGACTCCAATACCAAAAAATAATATTGTGTTTACTTCCAAATAGACTTGCTTGGGCCTTTACCCTGGCTTAGGAGAACTGTACTCTCAAGCAGGAGAAACAAACTGCCAAATCCACAGGCTTTTTAGCAATTTGTCAGCAGATAAGAAAGGAATTACAGGATGTGTCTACCTGCAATTACAGAGAACCGTAGGACCCTTCCCAGCCAATGTTCATATGATGCTGCCCCAACCAATTTAACGCAAGATAATAGCACCCATCAAACAAGGATAATTCAAATGCTTTATCAAAGTAAGTTTTGAAACCAAAACAAAGGTCTCAGAAATGACACATTGGTGCACTTTATCTAGTGAAACAGTGGAACAAGATCACTATCCTCTACTTCAAAATATATTTTTCTCTGAATGACTAATCGGCATGCTTCATAAGGATATTTATCAGGACTTTAGGTAAGTATGCAGGATATTTATTTAAAGCATCGTTTCATCATCCAGCAACAATGCAGTACAATCAACTAGCCCGAGGACATAGGGTTTTGTGGGGGGGGTGTTTTTTGTTGTATTGGTTGGGTTTTTTTCTAGTACTTCACCTCTATATCTTGTATCTTCATTGAGTACATTGTGAAGTTTTCCACATAGAGCTAAACACATAAAATAGTCCTATACATTTCAATCTTTTCAAAAGTTCCTTAAGTAGACAAATCAAGACTAAAATAATGCTAGATCTGCATCCAGTTGTAACACACCCTTTTTCTAATGTATATTTCAGCTAACCTGTAAGCTCCTTTCTCCACCTCTCAGTAAAACTTTTAGGTGGCAAAATACAAGGAATTCTCTTAAGAAGTTTAAAATGAGATTTCTACTCTTTATGAGACACACATACAGGTAACAAAGTGTTTCCATATGTTTGAAAAGTTTTCTAAATAGTTCTCTTTATGATCACATTATAAAGAAATATCTGCAAAAATGTTTAACATTAAACAGCCAAACTGGCACAGGTTCTGGAAAACTATAACCTGACAAAGCTTATATGTAAAAATGAGGGTTTGTTATAAAAAGGTTTTTAACCTGTATACTTTAGGAATTAACAAGTCCTTGCCCAAGGGCTCTCCTGCAGATGGGCTTATTAACCAGACCCTATTGCTTAATTAT